TGGCGCCGCGGGAACGCCTGGCTGGCTCTCGACACGCGCACGGCCACTAGCGCACCCCTCGATCTTGCCCGGCCGGAGGACGGAGCTCCGTGCCGCGCAGGACAAACTGCCCTGCGCGTCTGTGGAGCCCTGGCCATTCGACCTTTAGCGGGCCTGCCTGTGGGAGGAGCGGGGCGCCTGCGCGAGGAGACACCCCCTCGCGTGCCAGGTCACTCTCGCGGGACGAGAGCCGCCCCAGTCGCCCAGGACCTGAGTTCACATTGCCGCGGGCGCTCAGCGTGAGAGCCGGCACGTTCAGACACGTGGCATCCCCCGGGGTAAAATGAGACGCACACCCGCCTTAGGACACTTAAGGCCGAGGCCCGGGGCTTTCTCAAACCACGGCTGGGCGCCGGAGTGTGTTTCTTTTCAAAGAGAATCACAGGCCCTGGGCCAAGCTCACGTGAACCCTGCCAATAAAGCAGATGTTGAATTGTAAATGTCTCACGAGATAGTGCCTAAAAGCAAAGGCGCCCCTGACAGAGCGGTGGTTTCATCCTAAACCTTAAAATTAATCCAAATATCATCTTCAGTACCCCACATTCACTTTTGACCGCCAAGCTGCGGAAGTGAAAACCATGGAGACAGGAAAGAAGAGAAGCCCTGAAGAATCTCCTTGGTACTCCGAAGGACAGGCAATTTAGGGGAAAGATAGATGTAGGAACATACGCATTGAAAGGATGGGGGCATAACAAAGGACAGGCGAAGGAGGAATGTACGCAAATGATAGGCAAATAGGAGCGAGCTACCTCCTTGGTCATCCCCAATTCTGGCCTGATGGATGAAAACAAAAGACCCCTTCTGACTGTCTTTATCATAAAGTATTTGATAATGTTTTTTCAGAAGTTACTGTTTAAATTGATCTCATCTGTTGCAAGAGTCACCCACGCTATAAAAAGAACAAATCTTGTATGGCTTTCCAGATTGGGTAAGACGTAGCTTTGATGTCCTCTCAGTCTGTTTCCCATGTCTTTTTTTCTCTCATGCATATGCCAAGAAAAACTGTGCCCCACCCCCCCACGATTATAATCTTGTGATTTTCTCATAGGACACACTGCACACAGCCTCTTGAGTTGTTAGGGCAGCTGAGGATCCTCTTCGGGCAGTTTAGGTCATCTGATCAGTTCCATGTCATAGGAGAATGTTTAATCCTCATCTGGATAGTTTCTTTGTAGTGGCTGGAACACTGGGCTCCTTAGTGGCCTCCAAGCACAGTATTAGCATCTTTTGTTAGGAGCCTGTTTAAATCTGAGTCCTCTCTTTAACAAGTGGCCCCTGGGTGATGCACTGGTTTGCCCTGGACTACTAGATTAAAGGTTGACTATTCAGATCCACCCAGCAGTACCTCGGAGCAAAGACCTGGTGATCTGCTTCCATAAGGATCACGTTGGAGTAGTTCAACCGTGTACCACTTGTGGTACACAGAATCCACTGACTATTGTTTGTTTGAAGTTTATTTAAATCAGTTTTAACTGATCCATTATCCTATCAGTGTTCCCTAGTGGTGACTCAGCAAACAAACAGCCCTCTAACTCACTACTTTGAATTAATTCTGACTCACAATGAGTGTGTGGATAGAGTAGAACTGTGCTTATAGGTTTTTGAGGCTGTCACTTTTTTTTAATTTATTTTTTTAATCATTTTCTCAGGGGCTCATACAACTCTTATCACAATCCATACACACATCAATTGTGTAAAGCACATTTGTACATTCATTTCCCTCATTATTCTCAAAACATTTGCTCTCCACCCAAGCCCCTGGCATCACCTCATTTTTTCCAATCCCTCCCCCCTCCCTGAGGAACCCTTGATAATTTACAAATTATTATTTTGTCATATCTTGCTCTGTCCGACGTCTCCCTTCACCCACTTTTCTATTGTCCATCCCCCAGGGAGGAGGTTATACGTAGATCCTTATAATTGGTTCCCCCTTTTCAACCTACCCTCCCTCCACCCTCCAAGTATCACCACGCACACCACTGGTCCTGAAGGGATCATCTGCCCTGGGTTCCCTGTGTTTCCAGTTCCTATCTGTACCAGTGTACATCCTCTGGTCTAGCCAGATTTGTAAGGTAGAATTGGGATCATAATAGTGGAGGGGGGGAGGAAGCATTTAGGAACTAGAGGAAAGTTGTATGTTTCATTGTTGCTACACTGCACCCTGACTGGCTGGTCTCCTCCCCGAGACCCGTCCATAAGGGAATGTCCAGTGGCTTACAAATGGGCTTTGGGTCTCCACTCAGCACTTCCCACCCCGCATTCACAATAATATGATTTTTTGTTATGATGATGCCTGATCCCTGATCCCTTCAACACCTCGTGATTGCACAAGCTGGTGTGCTTCCTCCATGTGGGCCTTGCTGCCTCTGAGCTAGATAGCCACTTGTTTACCCTCAAGCCTTCAAGACCCCAGATGCTATATCTTTTAATTGCCAGGCACCATCAGCTCTCTTCACCACATTTGCCCATGCACCCATTTGTCTTCAGCGATCATATCATGGAGGTGAGCACACGATGATATGATTTTTTGTTCTTTGATGCCTGATAACTGATCCCTTCACACCTCGTGATCAGGCAGGCTGGTGTGCTTCTTCCAATGTGGGCTTTGTTGCTTCTGAGCTAGATGGACGCTTGTTTATCTTCAAGCCTTTAAGACCCCAGATGCTATATCTTTTGATAGCCGGGCACCATCAGCTTTCTTCACCACATTTGCTTATGCACCTGCTTTGTCTTCAGCGAATGTGTCTCGGGAAGGTGAGCATCACAAGAGCATGTCACTCTTAATGGGAGCAGAAAGCCTTGAACTACTGACCTCGAGGTTAGTAGCCCAACATGTAACCTATACTCGCCACCAGGTCATCACAAGAGTGAAAATACCAAAGGTGGGGATCACTGAAGATTTCTTAAAGGTTGGTCATTATAGTGGACCAAAGAATGAAATTACTTATTCACTAGAAGAAACAAGCAAATTCTTCTATAATCTGACTCTCAATCTATAAGCAATAAAGAAAAAGATGGTCAGTTTGAGAAGAGTAGTGATTTATTCCAGGTAATGTAGCCAGCAAAACCTATCCACAGGTTTTTAGAGTGCCCTGCCCTATTCTGCAGGTCCATGGTGTCAGCATCCCTGGGACTGAGAACAAATATGTCTAGCCGACTCCCTACTAGCACTAGACCATCACCCTGTGCCACTCACCAGTCATGAGAGAATGGGTCAGGTTATAAGTTTCTTGCTTCATAGCTTAAGACACTTGGCTTCGTTCTTACATTCCAGTAATCTTCCTTTGCAATTTTTACAATACATTCCTTTAAAAACTTTTATTGCCAGAATATTGTATAGCCCCGAAGAAAGAAAAGAAAATAACAGCTTCCCAAACATGTCATGTTTCAGTGTAAGATTTAAAGCACCAGGTTTAGCTCTGCAAGCCTAAACTCATTTCTGTCATACACTATTTACTATATCAAGTTTTTCTGTTCAGAGGAAAAGGAGAGAGAGTAGGAGTTCAGCTTGGCGACATCGCAGCAGTTGCTGGAGCACTGGCTCACCGCCTGCAGGAAAGCACGGCTTGGCAAGGGATGGGACACAGTCCACTCCTGAATGATCAGTAGCATCCTGCATACTCTAAGAGTCACCACATAAGAAGCATTCCGCAAAATGGTCACAAATTCGCTTTTTCAAAATGTATGGATCCCATTTATGAAAACTACAGATAACTGAATCTCTAGAGACAGTAACTAGATGAATGGTTCCTTGGGGAATGGCCGAGGAGGTTCGGGGTCAGGGGTGGTGGTGCTAATAAGAGTGAGCACAAATATGAAGACAATGTTCTAAAACTGATTGCAGTGATGATCCTATAGCTCTTCTTGGTGTGACTGAACTGTTGAGTTGTATGATATGTGGATGATATGCCAATAAAACTTAAAAACAAACAACAAAACAACCCTACAGACAAAAACCAGATCAGTGGTTATCAGAGCGCGAGGGTGGGAGCCCTGGGTTGGCCACAAGAGGGCAAAATGGAACTTTGGGAGGTGATGCAAGTCTCGACTGGTGCGGTGGTTGCGTGATTGCATACTTTTGCCGATACTCAAGAATCGCACCAGCAAGGGTGAGTTTTATCGTATTTAAATCATATCGAAGCTCGCCCTGTGGCCCCGTAGATCTGCGTCTTGCTTCAACAGTGTTTGAAGGGAACAGATCCGGGGACTCCCTGCCTCCAACCTTGCACCACTCTCCAGTTTCCTTTCCGGGCGTCGCCTTCGGGACCATCTCCTGGGCCATCCCCTCTTAGTGGGACCAGGGAACATTTTTATTTTGTGTGTGGTG